GTTAGAAAATCTGAATCTAGTCCTATTTTACACATAAATAATATGACGGATTTATTCAAAATAAAAAAAGGAATTATTACATTAATTACTGTAATTAATTGTTATTTTAACTATACTATGGCTTATGATATGTTATTTGCATTACTGTTGGTAGTTGTCCAATTTGTTTTAAATGTTATATATGATAAACTTATTTTTATTTTTATGGTTGTTCTCTTTTTCGTTTCAAACGTAATGTATGATAGGCTTATTTTCATTGTGCACGAGACCTTGACACATTCGGTGATAGTTTTAATTTCATATTATTTAATTTATACAGTTACTACAACATTTAAATACATTTTTGTTTATACACTTCTTTCTAAAGTATGTACGACATATATATATTTACATCAGTATAAAATTCGGTTCTAATTTAAAAATTTACTATCAAAACGTAAGGGGTCTACGTACTAAGACTGACTTGCTTTTCAGAAAGGTCTTATGTCATGAATACGATATAATCTGTTTCACTGAAACTTGGTTACATTCGGGTATATTCGACTTGGAACTATTTGACGCACGGTATTACGTATATAGAAGCGATCGTAACTACAAAGTCAGAGGTGATACAATGGGTGGAGGAGTTCTGATTGCAATGAGACGTAAGCTAAAGGTCACTAACGTTGAATGCATCCCGTCAATGGATTCAGCTGCTGACGTGATTCGTGTTTCTATTTCATTTGAACGACATACACGATGCAACATATATTGTTGTTATTTTCCACAATGTCGAATTCATAAAGATGTGTTGTCAAACTTTTATGAACATATCTCTGATGAAGTTCTCTCTTACCCTGATGACTGCTTCATTATATTAGGAGATTTTAACATACCTAACGCAATCTGGTCGAAAAATAGTAATGCTGATGTGACCTTACATGGAGATTTTTCATCGGATACAGTTAATGAACTAGCAAATTTTCTTTCTTTTAATAATTTTAGTCAGTATAATATATTTAAAAATTTTAAAGATCGTATTTTGGATCTCTTAATAGCCAACATTAATTGCAAAGTCAGTTTAGCAACTACTCCAATAGTTTTAGAGGATTCGCACCATCCAGCTTTTGAGTTTACAATTTTAAAATCACATGAGAAACTACTCGAGGCTCGGGCTCACACAGTCAAGTTATATAGAGATGCCGATTATGAGGAAATAAATATAAATCTTTCGCAAATAGACTGGGAATCTAATTTGAGTGACGGTAATATCGATGTCTCTGTGTCGAATTTTTATAACATTTTAAATAATATAATAGAGAAACACGTACCTACTAAAACTATTAAATTTAACACTAAGTACCCAATTTGGTATAATAGCGCATTGATTAAAATTGTAAATGAAAAATTAAAATTTCATCGCAAGTGGAAGGTGTATAAACAGGATAGTGATTACAAGTCTTTTGCCATACTAAGAGAGAGACAAAAAATTATGGAGGACAACTGTTATAACAAGTTTATCAATAATGCTGAATATAAGATTGGTATTAATAGTAAATTCTTTTGGTCTTTTGTAAAATCAAAACGAAAATGTAATGATTTTCCTGACATAATGTTTCTAGATGATAATACGACTTCAGATCCTGTGAAAATATGTGATTTATTCAATACTCATTTTAGCTCAGCTTTTAGTGTTAATAGTCCAAATCATAATACTCAGATTTCTAACTCCGCTCACTCGATTAGTATAAATTCGGTCACTTTTACAGTTCCTCAAGTTTCAATGTATTTAAAACGCTTAGATGTCAGTAAGGGACCAGGACCTGATGGCATTCCACCCTTGTTTTTACAAAGATGTTACCGTCAATTAGCTAAACCATTAACAATTTTGTTTAGAACTTCCATGAAGTTGGGTGAAATGCCTTTAGAATGGAAAAAATCGTTCATAACTCCCATATTCAAAAGTGGTAATAAGCACGACATTTCAAATTACCGTCCAATTTCAAAATTAAACTCGATTCCAAAACTATTTGAGAAAATTATTTATGACACACTCTCCCAAATAGCTCGACCAATTATAATTCCTGAACAACATGGTTTTATAGGTCGAAAGTCTACAGAAAGTAATCTTTGCGAGTTTCTTGATCACCTCTATATTGCAATGGATAGTGGACTGCAGGTAGATGCAGTGTACACCGATTTTACAAAAGCATTTGACAAAATTTCACATAGTATTCTGATACACAAATTAGATCAAATCGGTGTACATGGTGATTTACTTCGATGGATATCTTCTTATCTTAGAAATCGTAGTCAGGCAGTTGCAATAAAAGGACACTGTTCATCTTTTCTCCCAGTTTGTTCAGGTGTTCCTCAGGGTTCGCATCTTGGTCCACTACTGTTTATAATATTTATAAATGATGTAATATCCTGCTTCCATAATTCCAAAATTCTCCTTTTTGCAGATGATATAAAAATTTTCAGATCTATTAAATCTATAGAAGACTGCAATCTACTTCAAGAGGATCTGTGTAGGCTTAGCTCATATTGCCAAGCAAATCATATTTACTTGAACATCAAGAAATGTAATATTATCTCATTTACTAGGAAAAAGAATCCAATCCTCTTTAACTACAAGCTCGACGATAATTTACTAAAGAGAGTAAATGAACTGCGTGATCTTGGTGTTCAGTTGGATAGTAAGTTGTTACTGAGATCACATATTAATATAATAACTCAAAGAGCTTATAAAATGCTAGGTTTTGTGATGCGTATCTCAAAAGATTTTAAAAACTCTACAACATTAATTATACTATTTAATACTCTGGTGCGATCTATTCTTGAATATTGCTCTTCATGTTGGAATCCTCAATACAAAGTTTATGTTAAAATGATTGAAACAATCAATAATAAGTTTCTGCGTCACTTAAAGCGATATGATTCTTCCGTAGACTCCTTTATTGATAGCTTACACAGTTATACACTCGAAAAACGCCGTGATATAAGAGATCAAATGTTGTTGTACAAATTGCTACATAATATCATCGACTCACCCCTACTTTTAAGCAAAGTGAATCTTGCGTGTCACCGGTTAGGTGCACGAAAAAAAGCCTCTTTTTGCATTACGTAAAGTAAAAACGAAGTACGCTTCTAATAATTTTGTATCTCGTACATGTAAAAATTTTAACTTAAAATATTGTGAACTAGATATTTTTCACCTTAAATACAATAGTTATAAAAAAAATATTGTAAAACTTAATTTATAATTGGTAGCTTCACTATAGGTCGTGTGTATTGTATTACTTTTATTTTATGCTTAGAACTTAATGTTTAATTATAAATCCATTTAGGTATTTTTTTTTCAATCTTTAAACATATTGTGGTTGCAAGCTTTTAATATGTTTTAGATATCTGTGGAAACTTCATTGGTTTTAGGATTACTTTTATATGTTTTATAATGTATTTTTTTTATTGTACTGTATGTTTCCCTGAAAAAGCAAATAAATAAATAAATATTTACAGAGAACACATTGTACAACGATATGTTAGTGGATGAGATGTTTCGCTCCTATTTTATAGATAATAAGTAATAAGATTTTGTATTTTATAAATAAAAATTTTAACAAAATTAGGTAATGTGTTTAAAAGATGGAACTGGAATGTTTATAGGACTTCAGTTTGTGGCGAATATTGCTTAATGTATTTGCTATATAAGTTTCAGGGATGTTCAATGCATAGTTTTACGAGTATATTTACAGAGAACACATTGTACAACGATATGTTAGTGGATGAGATGTTTCGCTCCTATTTTATAGATAATAAGTAATAAGATTTTGTATTTTATAAATAAAAATTTTAACAAAATTAGGTAATGTGTTTTATTGATGATTCAGATTAGTGTTGTAGATAGGAACAAAGGAGTATAATACAATAGCATAAGCCGACCCACACGCTGGACGAATAATAGATAATGACGGTAGTCAATCAACAATAGATAAGTAGATAAGGACAATGGAGCGCTAATGACGGTTGAGGCTCGTAGCGGATATCAATTAGATAAGAGTTAATTGATCTGCACATCTCCGGAACCGTGCATCCTACGCAAAAATGGACCGCAGATTCGTGATCAGAGCATGCCAAAAAAATTAGGATTGTGAGTCGACGAACGTCGTGCGCCAGAACTGGTACAGCCTTTCTACAAGTGCGCCAGAACTGGCAACGTAACTACTCCCAAGGAATGCCACAAAGCACAAAGCACAAAGCAAGCCACCTACATCCATCGACTTCCTGCATGTCTTACCAGGTCGTCACTCCATTTATTTTAATTTAATTTAATTTAATTTTTAATACTTTCATTTAAATGGCACTAAAACTAAAACATAGGTATATTACACATTTTAATTCACTTCGGTTAAAATAAATTTATTCGCCAAAAGCAGTATGTCGAATTTTTAATTTGCTTAAATTACTAGAGAAAATTTGCTTAAATACTAAGTACTTACAGCTAGACAAACCAAACAGTACGTCTGATATCGTCAAACACTCTTAAACGCAACCCGGTACAAATTTCAATTTTAGTCGGCAATTTGGGCGAATCGTGAGCTCTTCGGATGCTAGTTCTGGTAACTTGTCATTTGAAAGACTTGTTTCTGCACGAATCTCTTCCCATCTGCTTCCGCACCCATTTTTTAACCTGGGCTGTCCCGTAACGACAGGTGGCACGTTCCAGCCTGCAGATATTAAAATTTCAAAATAAAAAAATCACATTTTATAGATCTCAATTAGCCCTTTCGACCTACGTTAATTAATTTATAAGCCCGTTTTTCGTTTTCCCAGGAAAAATAGAAATATAATTTTCTATTTTCCTCTACTTAAAATAGCCATATCTCTTTGAAAAATGATTATTTTTTACTCTACCAAGCGTGAAAAAATTGCCTTTGCGCTAAAATATTCAATAATTATTATTGTAAACAATAAAAAACCGTCGTGGCATTTCCAAGCCAATTATTTGCGCATTGCGCATGCGCGACAGAATAAAGGTGAAACTCACATCATCAACTGCAGATCAGCTGATGCTACACGCACGGAAGGACTACCCGTTAGGTCATAATATACTCTTATTTGATATCATAGAACCGCTGGCTCCGGACGGTATCTAATTAGATACCAAATACTGCCGTACGAAAAAATATTTTTATAAACAAAACCAAAGACAATATGCAATGAATAACAAAGTCAAAGACAAAGATATGCTCTTTTATTTTAAGCCATAACCTGGCAATGTTTCTTAGAAAAAAAAATCACTCTGAACTTTCGGCGTTCCTACATATTTATTTATCTATGCGGCGTTCCACGTGTCACATTGCAGAAGGTACTCCGTCTTTTTTATAGAATTTTATATTTGTGCCTGGACTAAACACGAAAGTATTGTAATTTTTTGTATTCCTTTTAAGATAGTAAACACGTAGATATATAATTTGTGGCATAAAAAGTGAAAAGTAAGTGCCAAAAGTACTTCGAAATCGAGAAGGCCAATTTTAGCGGTTGGGTCAAAAATGTGTTATTTTTCCAATTCTCATTCATTTTTAGTATAAAATGTAACTAAAAAATAGTTTTATAACATATTTCAAATAAATTGACGTTGTATTTATTTCAAATTCACACAAAAATATATTTGAAATATTGTTCGAAATGTCATACAGATAAAAATTATTATTTTTTAACTTTTTTTTTATATTTTGGTATGAGTAACGAATAGAAACACATAAAACATAAAAATATATATATTTCCAAACATTTTTATATAAACTTCTCCAAAAACAAAAGTGTAGAATTCAAATTAGTAGTAATTTTGTCACTAAAAGTGAAGTATATACTACTACTATGCTATAAAGGGTAATTTATGAATTTTATTACAATTTCTAGCAACTAAAAATAATTTTATTCAATATTTTATACATTCAACAAGAATTCCTGTAAGTTTTATCCATAAATATTGTCTCAAAGTGAAAATATAGCAAAATTTGCAAGTTAGCAAAAAATTTGCTATGCAGTATCATTAGATGCTACAGCATCGATAACTCTTAAGATCAATAGACCAGATGGAGATGCTAGTGACGTATTCTTATCAGTTATGTATACATACATTGATAAAATGATTGTCCCAATATGTCAAGCAATGTCTGAGAAAAATAACACTTGTTTTTATACTTTTGCCTACAGTGAAACTTATAACGATAACTGTCAAAAAGCCATGCATTATTTAATTAATTTAATACAGACTTTTACTATTGATTTAAATAATTCTACAATAGTTAATAATAATGAAAAAGTAGATGATTATAATGTTTTAGAAAATGAAGATGACAATAAGAAAGATTCACTAAAACACATACATTGAAGTAATCAAATTAGCAGTTATTTCAAAAGTTTCGAACGAAAAACATTCATATGTTGGAATTCAGAATAATGATTATTATTTATCAAATTTTGGTGACAAGCTGGTTGAATTATCCAAAGAATTTGTCTGTTGGACAAATGTCATGCAGGAACATTTTCAAAATCCTCATTATGTATCATCTTCAGCCCGGTCAGAGACATATTTTGGAGAATTGAAGCGTTATTTATTGCACATGACATTGAGGCAGGATAAGGTTCTTGTCTCTCACTGTCGACAAATAGAGGCTGACATGAAGTTAGCCAGAGCTGCAATAAACAATATAAAATTAGAAAACAAAATAAAGCAATCAAAATTAGATTATAACACTGAGTAATTGATGGAATTTAGTTTCCGCTTAGCGATGGAAAAATAAATTTTCCAACATTGACTTGGAAGATCTTTTATACGATGCTGATTATTCAATACTTTTAGGTAAAAATAATTCCACTGAGTTAATAATTGAAAAGAAAGATTTCCAAATTAATGACGATGCAAAAAACCATGACTTTACATTCAACACAAACGCATCTGAAGACTACAATGTGGCACAAGAAGTTATTATACATACAAGTTTGGAAGATCACAATTACTCACGATTCCAACATCAGTTGAAAATGCACTCCTCAGCATTATTATTGGAAGAAAAATCACTTCCTGAGGAAAAAAATTTAACGCAAGATGAAAACTCTATTGTCAAAACTGAAACAGTTGAATAGCCTAGAGGCATTCATGTTCGTCCCAATCCTGAGATTGCTTTACGCCTGCAGCAATCCAAGAATACGAAAAGCAATGGAAAGAAAAATATAACAAATTGAAATAAACAGACTGTAAGAGCCATGAAAAAACAAAAAATAAAATTTTTAAACACATGTGCGTTTGACACTTTGACAGAAATATTTAGTAGTGCATGTTGTAAAGTGATTGATTTTAGAAGCTTTATAGAACGCAGTCAAAATGATGTGAAACCAAAAAAATATTCATACTATGTGAGTACAGTATTTAAACACTCAATATCTGGTGTGAATACGGTATTGTATACAAATAGATCACACACACTATATTCGTTGTTCAAACCAGACTGTAATATTGTTAATGGTAATGTTAATATCAGTCAACTTCTTGAATAACTGATGGGCGAATATTAAAGTACTGTTGAAAAAGTTACATGTCAAGATTGTGGACACATGAATAAATCCAAAAAAATAACAACCTTTTTACCAAATTTGAAAATAGCATGGTTACGAAATTATCACAACATTGAAGAAGAAATAAACAGATTTTTTTTTCAAGACAAAATTCACAACTGTTATAATACCATAAAAGAACTGGATTATATACGCACTCTATGGGGCCGTATCTATGGATTGATACTGATGAAGTATACAGAAAATCCACATATGCACAGGACGAGTTAAAAATAGATGCAGAAAACTTCGATACTGATTTGAATGACATACCACAAAGAATGTCAACAAAAGATGAATCTTTTGTGTTATGCGGTGTAGCAAAATATGTTCCTCCATTAGATTCTAACGGAATGGGCCACTACGTAGCATGCTGTTTAACAAATTATAACTGGGTGGAAAGAAATGATTTAGTTAAATACAAAAAAAAATTATCACTTCATCCATCAAAAATCAAAATAAGTGGCATATTATATGTCAAAAGAGTGCTCATAAAATAATCTAACCTCTTGCACAAGAAAAAAAATGCAGAAGCAAGACTTTCTATTAAGCGTTTCAAGACTTTCTACAAGCATTTCTATTAAGCGAATTATGAAATTCGCTTGATTATGATCTCATAAACTATATTTATTTAAATTATTGTTAAATACTTACGTCATTACAAAGTAAACTTCCAAGCCTAGAAGTAGCAGCTAACTATTTTAATAGGTGTTATTGACAAGTCACGGAATCATGGAGATTTCATCTTTCTGCTGATTTGCTCCAAAATTATATAGTACGTGTTGATTGGGCCTGTTTAACCATACGTACATTTTTAAAAAAAGAAAGAAATGTAAATATTTATTAATAAAATAACTATTTTTTTGGTTTATTTCTTTGTTTCAATTCTTGAAGATTTTAATTATACATTTACACTTACACATCAAATTACCAAAAGCACATAATAATGGATCCAATAGTACTGAAAAACTTCCCGAAAAATATATAATAACTTTTAAAGTCGTTCCGTGTGTGTAGCATCAGCTGATCTGCAGTTGATGATGTGAGTTTCACCTTTATTCTGTCGCGCATGCGCAATGCGCAAATAATTGACTTGGAAATGCCACGACGGTTTTTTATTGTTTACAATAATAATTATTGAATATTTTTAAGAATTAGCACGCGGGCAAATCAAATTAGCGCAAGGGCAATTTTTTCACGCTTGGTAGAGTAAAAAATAATCATTTTTCAAAGAGATATGGCTATTTTAAGTAGAGGAAATTTGAAAATTATATTTCTATTTTTCCTGGGAAAACGAAAAACGGGCTTATAAATTAATTAACGTAGGTCGAAAGGGCTAATTAAGATCTATAGAATGAGATTTTTTATTTTGAAATTTTAATATCAGCAGGCTGGAACGTGCCCGGTCGTAACGACAGAACAAATATAGAGTGATAACGGTTATCACGAAAATCACAACAGCCCTACCAATATAAGATCGCACCATTATCTCCTTCATCGCCGCTTTGGACTGAGCGATAACGACCTCATCTTTGTTCACCGTGTTATCCATAATTTATCACTACTATTATCGACATTAGTTACGGTTAGATCATCGCTAATATAAGCGGGTTTAAGCCTATCTACGGATATATATATATATATATATATATATATATATATATATATATATATATATATATATATATATATATCCGCGCATATGTATTAGGAAAACTTTTTTCCTTTTCGTTCTAAATTTTTGAATGGTTTTCCGTATTTCCGTATGAGGTCACTCCTAACAAAAACGTGTATTTAAATGATTACTGTATGAGCGTCCTTATGTGCCGGCTATGTAGGCTTAGGTCACATGAGGAGATAAATAGATAAATATCTACTCATGTGCTTAGGTTTACGCTCGTTTATCATTTTTCGTAAACGTTCGACATATTCGCTGTGATTTAAAATATTTGAATTACAATTATCACCATAAAAATCTCCAGGCAACCTTAAAGATTGACCGTATGATAACTCGGCGGCACTAACGCTAGTGTCTGATCGCGGGGCTACTGGCAGACCTAACAAAACTATAAGTAGTTCCTGAACCCAAGTCTTAAAATCCAACCTAGCTATAAGCGCGGCCTCTCCTCTCCGGGATCTCTCCACCGGCTCATTGCTTTGCGGGTGTAAGGAATAGTTCTGGTTTTATAAACACCAAAATATTTCATAAAATTTTGATAAGCATTGCTTTCAAATTGTCTGCCCTGGTTGCTAGTAAGGGCAGCCAAAACTCGAAATCCACCCCTCGAAAATTACGTCCAGGAAAGAAAAACCGTAAATGTCGTACAGCAAGTCACGGATATCCTGGTGAATCCTCCAGGTGAGGGAAAGTACGACCTGCTGAAGTCAACGTCATTCACCATCTTTGAGGAGTCTGAAACGCGTCAAATTACCAAACTCATTGGCGAGATGGACCTCAGAGAGCAGCGCCCATGGCAACTGCTGCGTTGAATGAAGGACCTAGCCAGGGATCGGTTCAAGGACGATACTTTAAGCGTATTATGGCAGAACCACCGACCGCCTACAGTTCGTGCTATACTGATGGTCACCGCTACCAAAGTCCTCAAGACGCTAACTTCTGCAGCAGATCAGGTCATGGAGACGATGAGACCTATCGGCGTGGCAGGGGTAGAATCGACTTCGCCAGGCAACGCTTCCATTATTGCTGAAATCGCTATGATTAATAACCAATGATACAGTTTTGATTGACGTTCCAAAAGTTGATCAAGGATTGATAGTCTCCAAGAATATGTTAGGCATGGTAATGAAAAATTTAACTTTATAAAGTTAGGACTTCAGCTGATATATTAAAGGAATAGTTACACCGAAATACAGTTCTTAATGCAGATATAACATTCACAGACTTAGTGCCACAAATTGAACTATCACTGCGGGAGATAGCTGGATGAGTTTTTAAATTTGGACGGCAAGGCTTTAAAAAATGTAATCGTGATAAATCAAAAGTCCAGTGCAAAACCGAAAAATGTATTTTCAAGAAACTAAATGCTGCATGTAATTCAGAGTGCCTAAAATCGCTGCCTTGTTTTCCATTTATAAATTACTTCAAAATAAGGAGTTAGTCGTTGTCATATTTTTTTTATAGAAGAGGGGGCAGACGAGCATGCGGCTCACCTGATGTTAAGTGACTACCGCCGCCCATGGTCAACCCCAACACCAGAGGAATTGCAGGTGCGTTGCCGGCCCTTTAGAAAGGAGTAAGCTCTTTTCTTGAAGGTCCCCAGGTCGTATTGGTCCGGAAATATCGCTGGTGGTAAACTATTCCACAGAGAGGTTGTACGCGGAAGAAAACTCCTTTTAAAACGTACAGTGGTGGACCGCCAAGCATCCAGATGGTGTGGATGGTATCGAGACGTTTGCCGCGTAGTGCATTCACGAAATTTGGCGGCTGGGATTAATCCGAACAATTCCTCAGAGCACTCCCCATGGTATATGCAAAAGAAAATGCAAAGAGATGCAACATCTCTACGCAGCGCCAGTGAATCAAGCCGATCGGAAAGCACTCGGTCGTTGACGATTCGAGCCGCTCTGCGCTGGATGCGGTCAAGTGGAAGGAGCTGGCACTGGGGAGCCCCAGCCCAGAAATGGGAACAGTATTCCATGTACGGCCGAACCTGCGCATTGTAAAGTTGCAGGCGGTGTGCCGGCATGAAATACTGTCCCGCTCTGCTGAGCACGCCAAGCTTTTTAGAGGCCAATTTGGCTTTCTCTTCCAAGTGGCCACGGAACTGCACGTCACTCGATATGTTGACGCCGAGGATTCCGATACTGGCTGAGGCAACAAGGGGAGTGCCTTGAAACTGGGGAGATACGACAACGGGGTACTTTTTAGCGGTTAACGCGCAAACTTATGTCTTCTGGGGGTTAAACTGGACTAGATTTAGTCGCCCCCAATTCGAGACTCTGTTCAGCAAAGACTCGACTACAGACACAAGTTAGTCCTGGTACTCGGAGACGTTTTCCCGAGAAATATTGGCACGGCCGGTGTAAAGAGCATCACCAGTGCTGTCATCTGCATAGCAATGAATGTTACGGGTTTGCAACATATCATGATATGCAGAAGAAATAGCGTTGGCGATAGCACGCAGCCTTATGGAACACCAGCATTAATAGGCTTGTAATAGGAGCTTGCACCGTCTACAACGACCTTGATGCTTCGATCTGCAAGAAAGCTGGTGATCCAATCGCACAATTTCTCGGAAAGCCCATAGGAAGGGAGCTTCGAAAGAAGCGCTTTGTGCCAAACCCGATCGAAGGCCTTCGCTATGTCCAAACTAACGGCCAATGCCTCCCCCTTGGATTCTACTGCCTGCACCCATCTATGAGTTAGGTAGACCAGAAGATCACCAGCTGATCGACCACCGCGAAAACCGTATTGGCGATCACTAATCAGCTGGTATCCTCAAGGTACCTCATGAGCTGGTAGTTGACAATGGACTCCATTGTTTTGGAGAACAAGGAGGTGATGGCGATAGGCCGGTAATTGGACGGGTCTGAGCGGTCGCTTTGTTTAGGAATCGGGTGGACGAAAGCCGTCTTCCATGATTCTGGGACTACGCCTATGGAGTAGGAGTACCGGAAAAGATGCGTTAAAACCGGTGCCAACTCTGGAGCACACGTCGTCAGCACAATTGGGGGGATTCCGTCAGGCCCACTCGACTTGTGGATGTCCAGGGAGAGGAGTGCTTTGCGAACCGAGCGCTGTGTGAAATGCACTTCCGGCATGGAGCACTCACACCGCGGAATGGTCGGCGGCGTACTCCCCCCGTCATCGAGAGTCGAGTTGGATACAAAGAAAGAGCCTAGCAGATCTGCTTTCTCCTTTGCGGTATGGGCCAGTGAGTCGTCCTCCCTGTGCAGAGAGGATGTCTTAAGTGTTAGTCGAACCACGCATACATTTTGAAGTCGGTTTAATTTTTTTAAATTACTTTTACTTGTTATTTTTGTTATTAACGAATTCACGTAATAGAAAAAGGTAAAATATAATTGTCAGAATATACAGGGTGTTAGTGTAAACACCGTAAACCTTGAAACCAGTGGTTTGGTTTCACTTATAGAACGTAAATTCAATGAATTTAAAAAAACCCTATTTTCTTTCATAAAAATTTAAAAAGTTTCTGTCCGACACCGTCCGTAAATTCATGGATACCCTATGCGCCCGAGTGACGTAATCATTGTAAAGATCACTGCCCGCGCTAGCTACCTACACTACATTCCAATAAAAACACAATAGGTACACATAACCTGTGATGTAACTTTTCCTTCATACTTTCATCGTGGCTTAGGACAAGCATAAATTGAGGAATTAAGGAAAAATTGAGATTTTACTAAAAAAAATGTTGTTATTTTTCATTGAATTTACGTTCTATAAGTGAAACCAAACCACTGGTTTCAAGGACAACATCCTGTATTTACATTTAGTTGATTGAAAAATAAAAATGCATCAGTTAATTTGTAACTTTGTTTTATCAATTTTATCCATAAACACTATCTATCTATCTATAATATATATATATATATATATATATATATATATATATATATATATATATATATATCGTAATCTCGGAAACGGCTCCAACGATTTTCATAAAATTAATAGTTTTCGAGGTAATAAATCGATCTAGCTAGGATTCATTTTTAAAAAATGTCGTTTTGTCCGTGTTTTCAGGCAATGAAATACTGCTACAATATAAGAAGGTAAATTTTGATATTGTATTAATGATCGTAATAGCTCAAGTGGATATCGGGCCGTCGCGAAATCGTAGTGCCCTGGTTCGCGTCCTGCCTTCGGTCCGGCTTTGTTTTCCTTTTTTTCAAGTTCACTTCTTTTGTGAGAAAATCCATTATTTCGAGCTCTTTTTTAAGTATTTTTTTAAAAACACGAAAATTTAAATTAAAATAATTGTACTCATGATTTTTTATATTATTTTTTTGATTATATTATATTTTTACCATTTCAGTTTTTTCTATTATGTCAATAAGATCAAAAAATATTATTCATGTTTCATCAGTATGTAATTTGTATCTATCTAAATATATATTCCAAAACACACGATTTCCAAAAAAATACCGAGCAAAGCTCGGTCATCCTATATGCATATATATATATATGTCACCACCAGCTAGCTTAATGTTTACTTGGTTGGGAACACGTAGGCAAATGAGGCAGCTAGCATGTTCATTTTAATTTAGTTCCACATTTCTGCCACCTAGCACTAAAACTCTCCGAACTGTCAAAACGGTGTCGGCAAACAACAACTTTAATGGTGTTTTCCAAAGTTTAATGTAAAATAGAACAAGCTGTCGCAGTCAGCTAGCTTAATTAGCCGTTCAATTAACAGCTTAGCCTTTTCATGTTGAACTAAGGGCCTGAATGATATTCAGCCGCTGCGTCTAACCGTGAGTTTGCACTGACGAGATTTTAACAAAAAAAAACATGTTTAAAACACTGTTTTCTGACAATGTATCGAATCGCGTTTGCATAGTCAAAGAATATGTATTGAAATATGTTTCACAGCTTATTGTATTTGAACTATATTATATTTAGATAACTACCGAAACAAAATGTTTGAAAACAAATTTGCAGAAATATTGTCATGTTGAAAGATAAGTTTGAAATTAATATTGTATTTATAGGCACTGCAAATTTTTTAACAATAATGGATTCTAGTGATGAAGAAGTTATTTTTACCTATCAGTGCTGTACATTTACAACAAAAAATTTTTAATCAATATTGATTTTTATTTTCTTGTTTAAACTCATGTAATTACTAAGACAGATGGTTTGGTGGAGAGATTTTGTCTACCGTCAGTTGTGTTCTAAAATTATGCACGTTTGAGAAATATATTTCTGTACCTTAGAACCACCTGCTATTAGACGGCCAGAATACAAATACTAGTCGCGGCGGCGATATCGGATGCATGGATAATTTAATCTAATTTATGGGCAATAACGTTTATGCCTACCGATCACCCTTTTGAATGTATGCGTGTGCAGTAAAATAATGCATTACCGCACATTCTGAATTTTAAAGATAAAAAGGGCACAAAGTTGGAAATGTTTTTAAAGTAATTTTTCGTCACCGTTCGCCTATATTACTTATTTTGAACCTTCTCTGTAGGTTAAATATCACAAAATAACCCTGCATGGCTTTCCAAGAAAACACAGATTATTAGAATAAGCGTAAACTCTGGCAAGCTTTGTAAAATTATGAGAGAAAACCACTATTCTCTCTCTCTCTCTCTCTCTCATGCTTTCAACACAACATGAACACATTATGAAGATGACAGTGACCAATTACATTATTTGATAAACAGTTTTGTAAATTTCTTTTTAAGTCATGTATTTTAATTTTAATTGAATAAATAAATAGAAATTTGTATTTTATTATGTCCTTTTATATGGAGCTCTGGGACAGGCAACCAAAAAAATACCCCGAATAAAACCCCCAAAAAAAGGAGTTAATTTTCCCGTTACTTACGTGATTTGACTATAAATGGAGTCAGTGGAAATATACCACATATATTTTATTTTATATACAGGATGTTAGTATAAACACCGTTGTTCTTGAAACCAGTGGTTTGGTTTCACTTATAGAACGTAAATTCAATGAATTTAAAAAAAACCTATTTTCTTTCATAAAATTTAAAAAGTTTCTGTCCGACACCGTCCGTAAATTCATGGATACCCTATAGTAAGTATAGTAAAGTAAAGATCACTGCCTGCGCTAGCTACCTACACTACATTCCAATAAAAACACAATAGGTACACATAACCTGTGATGTAACTTTCATTCATACTTTCATCGTGGCTTAGGACAGGCAAAAATTGAGGGATTAAGGAAAAATTGAGATTTTACAAAAAAAAAAAAAGTTATTATTTTTCATTGAATTTACGTTCTATAAGTGAAACCAAACTACTGGTTTCAAGGACAACGGTGTTTACACTAACATCCTGTATAAAGTAATCGTCCTTCTCCGCAAGGGGTAATAATGTTTTATGATGTTTAGCAACTAAATTGGATAACAAAGACAGTACAATTTAAAACAAATCACGAAATATAAAAAAACAACAGTGCGAACGCTAACGTTGTCAAATCTACAGATAAACAAATATAATGTCTATGTTTTATTCAATGCGAACACAGGTAACAACAAATCTTAACATCTGTTGAAAATTTTACACAGTTTTTGTTAGTGCGAACGCAACCATCAACAAAACATGTTGTGTGATTAATTTTATGCCATTTTTTTAAAAACATTATGGGTTGGATGTTTTTCGGTGCGGTGCGGCAAACGTCGGGTGATACAATATTGCCACTATCTTGTAATATCAGCGACAGTAGATTACGGCCACCCCAAAGCCGCGTATATTTATATAATATAGCGCACAGTGCTTAATTAGGCATGAAATGTTGTATTAGACGCATCGGCTGAAACGCATGGGCTGAATATCATTCAAGCCGGTAGTTGAACGGCGCTGTTTCACCCTACCGTACGAATGGCCTAAGCATTAGCCAGCCAGTTTATCAAATGTTGTAACAAACGCTACGGCTGAATATCATTCAGGCCGCTAGTTGACCGGCGATCTTTAGTAAAGAGGCTGGGCTGTTCATTGAACAGCTAATTAAGCTAGTTCACTGCGACATATATATCTCTCTTATATATCCTAGCTGTTGTAAAAAATACATCCATTTTTCATCCTAATTGGTATTTTTACTCACCCTGCACGTAACCATATGTATAATGCTTATATTTTTGCCATATGTTTCCTTATAGAATATTAAGACTTGATCAAACTCAATTTTAGAAAAACAGTTTTGTTTTTGAGAATGACTATTTCTAAATAAATGAACAAAATGATTCATAGCACAGGAAGTGACCAACCTAGAAGTTGATTCACTGATATAATTATTCACTTTGTATTGTGAAAGCTATCAACACTACGCTGCCTTTAAATATTACATACTGTTAATGTCTATTGCAGAAAATGTATATTAATAGCATTACAAATGGTAATAAATTTTAAATTATACCACAATTGAATACAACAGCTCATTTTTTTAAAATCTATAAACATACAAAACTCGTCAAAACAAAAACAACATGTGTTCACCATTATTTTCACAATTTTAAATAGCAACTAAAATAAAATCTTATGCTAATATAATAAACACTCATCCATATACACAGAAGCAATAAATATGTACACAATGTAAAGAAAACTACCTACATTCACTAAATTAAAGCCTTTGTAAATAGACGGGTTTTACTCAAATTTTGAGCTTGGGTTTGAGCTCATGTGCACGACCACCCCAGTCAAGACGGTAGCACCGAGTCCGCCACGAGATTTCAGGCCTTAGAAGAGCAACAATGAGAACGAATGGCGCACAGCATTCACTCCACACCCAGCCAAGAAGGAACTGCACTTTTGTAAATGGTAGTGATCCATTCTGGACTGAACGGAGCATCAACCAGTCAGACAGGAACCACACAAGCACATGTACTAAGAAGAAGGGTAACGGTTCTGCGCCAAACAACTTTTCAGACGCCCAGGCAGCGCCCGCGCCAAGTGGGAAGCACTCACTTAGGAGCTCAAGCAACGTTGTAGTGGGCACCATGGCGATCCTTAACTGCGCCCAACGCGTCAGTCTCGCTTGGAATGCACGCACTGATCGTGTTCCAGAATTTTGTAACGCAGGCAAGGATGCCACACGCATTCGCCATCCACGCGATACCACTGCTTTTGCCATGAAGTAATCCTCGGCAAGATATTCGCCAAAAGCTGCCAGTCCACCCGCCTCCTCCAGAGCGCATCGTCGTATAAGCGATGACATTCCAACATGGCAACTTATTCCCAAAAATTCAGCACCGAGGTACATTCGAGCCTGAACAGTACCGAAGTATACCTTTTCGTAAACACCGGCAAATCCCTCCGCATCACACGTAAATGGCATTTGATGAACAATCGCAACGTCGTCTCTCAAATGTTGCACCATATCAAGCAGAGTATCCTCTTGCATACGAATGCTCGCGTCGCTTATCAGTATCAGTGGATGTTTTGCCGCCAAGTAAGCCGGTTGCATGTTATTGATTTTAGGATTAACACCGACACACATCCCACCGACTAAAAGCTGTGCTTCAATATGTGGATATTTATGTAATAAATTGTTGACTAGCATTACAGCAGGGTCGTTCTCATTGTCAACACAAAATAACACTTCGTAATTTGGATAATCAAGGGTAAAAAATGTTTCTAAGTTGGAGAATAAATTAGGGTCAACACCTGTTAACGGTTTAAGAATCGAAACTCCCGGATAAGGTTGCTCAGGCGGTGAACGGTCCACCGTTCTATGTAATTTCCATTTTGAATACGATAATGCTATTATGTGAAGTAACCACAGACACAACCAGGCAACTATAAAAAATATTGCTATACCATACACTGTGTAGGCCATGGGAATCTTAACAGTAAAATTCTATCGTTTTAGCGTTCGGGCCACATAATACCGACTGGTTTTTTGTGTTCTGAACCGTTTGCTATATGATAGTATCTTATCACTTTACTGAACTGATAAGGACTTAACAGTCGATATTATCACTCAAAAAAAATACAATTCATTCGATATTAGGGTGATTCTCTGAAACTTTTTACGACTAGCTCTAAATAATACATTTTATAATGAAGTAGCAAAAGTAAAATTATGATAAATATATTGTATCTAAATATTCTACTAGGCACTATTAATAATATTAATTAAAATTATGTTTAAATGTCAAATATTTTTAAAATTTTGTTTCAAATCAAAAGACCTTTTGTATCCCATTTGCCAGATTTGAGGTATTTTTGTCCATACAGTAAAAAGTGGCGCTGAAAAATAATAATTTGCATGTAGTTTTCGATAATTCAATGTAAAAACGTTTAATTTTTCATAATTTTGGTCATTAAGATTTTAAATAATTTTCTTCATCATGCTTAAAAAAATTTCTGACTACTATCTACTAACCAACATTTGTGAATAAGGCAGTTCTGTTTCTAGTAATTAGTCTATAAACGAAACGGTTTCAACCAATCGGGCCACTGACAGCGTTGCCACTTTTAATGATTTTGTCAGTAGATTTAGTCAATTTTTGGAGTTAGATAGTGATATACTGAAAAAAAAATTCTGAAGAGAAACTTTTCAATAACTTCAGGATACAGGTAACGCACGCCATACTTACCGATCCTAAAGGTACCAATGGAAGCCAGTTGAATCTTATCGTGTATAGTCTTTTTCAAAAGATTCTTTTTTCTTTTAGTTACTGATTTTAGAATGCCGTGTAAAAAGCAGTCCAAGGAAGAAATATTACAAAAAGATAAAATTGCACGAAGGTTGAGATACGCGAATACATAAGCAGACCTTGCGTTATATGCATTAGAAAAAGGTGGGGAAAGACAAACATATACATATATATATATATATATATATATATATATATATATATATATATATAATACATATATATTATTAGAATCTCGGAAACGGCTCACGATTTTTAAAATTTTCGTCGGGCAATAAATCGATCTAGCTAGGATTTATTTTTAGAAAATGCACTTTTGTTCGTGTTTTCAGGCGATAAAAAACTGCTACAATATAAGAAGGTAAATTTTGACAGATCACTAACGATCGTAATAGCTCAGGTGAGATGTCGGTCGTCGTGATATCGGAGTTCCGTGGTTCGCGTCCTGTCTTTGGTCCGACTTTTTCCTTTTTTTTCAAGTTCCCTTCTTTTGTGAGAAAATCTATTATTTCAAGCCTTTTTTTTAGTTTTTTTTTAAAAATACGAAAATTTTAATAAAACTAATTGCACTCATGATTTTTTATTCAAATAACCGGTTCATTTTTTTCTATTCTGTCAATAAGATCAAAAAAATTATTTATGTTTCATTAGTATGTAAGCTATAAATGTAATTTCAAAAAAAAAACGAGCAAAGCTCGGTCATCCGGGTACTATATATATATATATATATATATATATATATATATATATATTTTTTTAAAGAAAAGAACTAAAGAAACTATAATGTATTCAAGAGATGAAGAATAGAGAAGAGCAGCTAGACTAGAATTAATACAAAAATTTGTGATATTCATTCTGTAAATACTAGGAACAGGCACAAGCTAGTAGTACCAGTTACTCGACTCCATCGAGTCAGTAATTCATCCTTTGGGATATGTACATATACGCTTTTATAACAAAGTCACAGAAAATATACAAAATTTGACCCGCACAAAGTTCAAAAACTTTATTAAACTAAGATTGTATAAAAAGGCTAATATAATATTAAGGAATTTATGGATGATAATAACCCCTGGGAATGGTGATCGCTACCAAGCTATTTCTAATATGTTTCGTGTTGTTAATTGTAACATACATGATTGTAAGCTGTTATTTAAAAAAAATAGTCCCGCTGGGTTTCTTACTGGTTCTTCCCAGGACAGTGGATCAGTAAAGAATGCACCATAGCTTGAAGAACCGACAACCTATGGAGAAGAAAGGTTCCGGAGTGGCAGTCTCCTGGTAAGCGGAACGCGGTGACCCCCCACTACATGGAGGTCGAACGACCAGATAAAACATGTAGGATGTTGATGTATTTAGTTGGCACAAGGCTGTGACAGTAGCTAGGGGAGGTCTATATAAAGTATTGTACTTTTTTGTATTCCTTTTAATATAGTAAACACGTAGATATATAATTTGTGACATAAAAAGTGAAAAGTAAGTGCCAAAAGTACTTCGAAATCGAGAAGGCCGATTTTAGCGGTTTGGTCTTTGGATAATTCAACCAGCTTGTCACCAAAATTTGGTAAATAATAATCATTATTCTGAATTCTAACATATGAATGTTTTTCGTTCGAAACTTTTGAAATAACCTCTAATTTGATTGCTTCAATGTATGTATGTTAGTGAATCTTTCTTATTGTCATCTTCATTTTCTAAAACATTATGATCATCTACTTTTTCATTATTATTAACTATTGTAGAATTATTCAAATCAAGAGTAAAAGTCTGTATTAAATTAATTAAATATTGCATGGCTTTTTGACAGTTATCGTTATAAGTTTCACTGTAGGCAACAACCAAAATATATTTTAAGACTTTTTCAAAAACATCTAATTTGTTTACAGTTGACAAAAATCCAACACTCTTTATGTACAGCATCTTTACTTTGGCATTTTCTTTTGTAAAACAAGGCCACATCCCAACAGCGTGTTGTACATGAGCAACATCTGTTCTCATTTGGGTTTGAATTTTAATCTGTGTTGATTCTCCAAGTAAAATCATTAGGCACGTATCAATGTATGTTCTGAATGATATGCAGTTGAAACTGAAACAAAAACCATTCCGTAGAGCTTTACCCATATCTGTAATCATTTCTCTTGGAATTTTGGCACCAGATTGCACCCAATTTTGGATCCAAAAAGTAAAAAAACAAGTGTCATTTTTCTCAGACATTGCTTGATATATTGGGACAATCATTTTATCAATGTGTGTACACATAACTGATAAGAATACGTCACTAGCATCTCCATCTGGTCTATTGATCTTAAGAGTTATCGACGCTGTAGCATCTAATGATACGGCATTGCAAATTTTTTGCTAACTTGCAAATTTTGCTATATTTTCACTTTGAGACAATATTTATGGATAAAACTTACAGAAATTCTTGTTAAATGTATAAAATATCGAATAAAATTATTTTTAGTTGCTAGAAATTGTAATAAAATTCATAAATTACCCTGTACGTAGTAGTATATACTTCACTTTTAGTGCCAAAATTCTATTAATTTGAATTCTACACTTTTGTTTTTGGAGAAATTTATATGAAAATGTTTGTAAATATGTATATTTTTATGTTTTATGTGTTTCTATTCGTTACTCATACCAAAATATAAAAAAAATTAAAAAAAAATAATAATTTTTATCTGTATGACATTTCGAACAATATTTCAAATATATTTTTGTGTGAATTTGAAATAAATACAACGTCAAGTTATTTGAAATATGTTATAAAACTATTTTTTAGTTACATTTTACACTAAAATGAATGAGAATTGGAAAAAATAACACATTTTTGACCAAACCGCTAAAATCGGCCTTCTCGATTTCGAAGTACTTTTGGCACTTACTTTTCACTTTTTATGTCACAAATTATATATCTACGTGTTTACTATATTACAAGGAATACAAAAAAGTACAATACTTTCGTTTTTAGTCCAGGCACAAATATAAAATTCTATAAAAAAGACGGAGCACCTTCTGCAATGTGACACTTGGAACGCCGAATGTTCAGAGTGATTTTTTTTCTAAGAAACATTGCCAGGTTATGGCTTAAAATAAAAGATCATATCTTTGTCTTTGACTTTGTTATTCATTGCATATTGTCTATATATAAGACAAAATATCTGAGGCAAGTTTTTGCAAAGGTGCATTGGGTACGATATGTTGAAGCACTGGTTCCCGCGGGAGAACCGGTGCATATAGGGCACACGACTCGCAGCGGCGCACGACGCGCTCCACATCCGCTGACAACACTAGCACAGAATAAATAATAATAGTACTATGTACAGAAGTTGCAGTCCTTTGATGCTGACTGCTTGCCGACGTTTAATAAAAAAAACAAATGGATGACTGTTTTTAAAACTCAAATATACCAGCTAAATGAATTTATAAATTTGAATTTGGAATTCTTAACCAAAAAGGAGATATTTCAGAGTGGTCAGTACGACAAAACGTTAATTTCATAATTCATTATGTAAGGACCCAATATTACTTAATTCTTTTTGCTATAAGTACGTACCTATCTAACAATAAAAATTAAATAAATTCACGTTTCATAACTTCCTACTAAAATCCTTCGGTAACTTAAGGAATGATATATCTGAAACATTTTGTTGGTCATTTAGCGTCTATCGATATACAATTTTTTTAATATTAACCCATTCACATATTGGAGTTCTCCACAATAATACCAAAATTTTCTGACGTTTTTATGAACATCGTGCTCATTTTTAGCTAGCCGTTTAATATGTACTTAATTAATAAG